TGAATAACATAAAGTTAGGAGGGTCTCTCCAGTTAACTGAAGGGATTGAGACTCCTGAGTCTCAGCTTTTAATTGAATTCATTAAGAAGAAAACTTGCCATTATATTAAAATGGAAGTTATGCAGCTTCAAAGAAAACAATCTAGCGATGGCTATAAAATTTTTCAAGAAAATCATGAATTGCAATATTTAATGGAGTTATATATAAATACTTTGAAGTTACCTCTTGCTAAAAGAAGAAGAGCTTTAGCACATATAGAGAAAGAAGTATCTATGCTTTCTTCAATAGAATCTTCTGATGCCCGAAACAGGGCTATGTTGAAAAGAGACGAATTACGTAAATCCAGTTTAGCTGAAAATGAGAAAAAAGTCAAAAGCGAAATTGCAAAAATTTGGGCAGAAATTGATAATATGAGTTTAGGTTTAGAGCATTTTTTTCGTGAATTTGGTCAAATTTATAAAATAATTTCTGTTAAAGATCAAAGAGCTGAAATTATGAAGTTACCAGAATTTTATGCGGAATTATTAATTAGTGGACATACTATAGAACTACTTGATGGTGATACTGGAACTATATCTGAAGCTTGGTTCTCGGCTATTTGCAAACATATCCACAAATCAAAACCTAATCTTCGAATTTTTGTAATTAGTATTCTTGGTTTACAATCATCCGGCAAGTCAACTCTTTTGAATGCTCTTTTTGCATGTAGATTTGCAGTTTCAGTTGGACGATGTACTAGAGGCCTCTTTATGCGACTATTATTTTTAGATGAGGATCTATCTAATCAACTTGGTGTTGATGCATTTGTTTTGATCGATACTGAAGGCCTTGGTGCTCCAGAAAAGATGAATGAACCAGAATCAGAAAAAAAAGACCGAATATTAGCAACATTTGCAATGGGAGTTAGCAATTTAACAATCCTTAATGTACTCGGAGAATCTACGCGTGACTTAACTGAAATTTTGCAAATTGCCATTGTAACTATGGCACGTCTTGAAAAAGCTGATATGGCCCCGGATATTCTTATGGTACAACATATTTCTGAAAGAAATAAGGCAAAGTTATCTGAGCCAGAAGAGAAATTTCGAGAAGCTCTCCGAGAAGCTTTGCGAATAGCAGATGAACAAGATACTGTGATGGGAATATCTAGCATAAAATGTCTCCAAATTCTTGACGAGAGAATAAAAAAGGGTCAGCTTCTTAGACAATTTCGACCGTTCAAAAATGGTGCAACTGCTCATGCTCCACCATCAAGACAATATCATGAAGATATTGTTGGTTTATATAATTCTATACTTGAGGATTGTAAGAATTCACAAGGGAAAATTGAATTTGTGAAATGGAGTTCGTTAATTCAAGAGTATTGGGGGGCTGTCTCCCACTAGTCTTAACTGTCACAACGTACATAAAATTATTAAAATTGCAACTTATGTAACATAACCCTATAAGTTACCGATGTCGTCTGACATCAAAAAACTTATCGGTTCAGTTATCAAAGTGTCCCAGATTTATGAAAACAGCTGTAGTAATAAAAAATAAAAATTGATTCGAATAGAAGCAACCTCTTCACTTCGAAAAAAAAATTCTCCTTCTTTTTTGCAACATTTTAATTGCATTTGTACAGCAACATAAAGTTTGTAATAATCAGTTATACAATTTTTTTGTACAAGTAGTACTGCAAATAAACGTATTTAATAAGTATACTATATACTATTGAGATTTGAATTTATGACTATAAGTAGAAAATACTAGCTCTATAATTTATGATAGGTCTTTTAACAATAATTATTGCTATAAATCAATTTATCTTTTCTTTAAGCGTACTAATAATTCTATAATAATCCAAATTTATACATCCATATTTACTTAATT